ACTGCGTCATCGTAAATTGATTTTGGTACGAATCCCGAAAACGAAAAAAAAAACCGTATTGTATATATTATTATTATACATTTATACCCCTATACCCCTATACGGCACTACTTACCTCCACTTCTGTGAAGTGCGACCCACGCGTCGAGCACTATGTGAATTTCAACCCGACTACCCCTTAGCGCGGGCGGCCGCGTGCTAAATTAAATTGCCTACTGCCCACGTAATTCCCGACGTTTGTTGAACCTAGTCCATCTGCCGCCGTCGCGCTCAGTCGTCATAGACCGACCACCTCTCCGTCCCACCGCACCATGACTACCACCCTGTCCGTACGCATTTGAATATCGCCATTCGCCAGTCACTCCACCTTGTCCAGTATAGTTAAAATGTCTTATGAATGGGTTTTAAATTTTTATTATCTAACCGTGTTGTAGGTATTAGATTGTGATTTGTATTCTCCATCATTTGGATTTAGCGGAAGAAACTACATGCCTAAAATATAATATTGTATTGTAGTTCTTTCTATGAAACCGTCGAATCGTTTGGAATATAATAATATCTTATAGTTCATAGGAATTAATTTTATTAACGTTTCCAGCTAAGGTATACGTAACCAGTTATAATAGTTTGAAAAACAACCAATTATAGATAGGGTGGTCTATTTTAAACGTTTATTTTTGTCAATTAGTAGTAATATCAATATAAATTTATTYTGTAAAAACGATTCATTATAGCCAACTGAATTATATTAATTTATATTAAATTCATTAATCATTATGAATTTTGTCACTCGCCGCATATGCAATAATTGCAATAACGATATTCGTTAACTTATTGGCAATCAACAATGAACTGTCAACAAATTGTCGATATTGTATTCTTTCTAATTTGGGTAATATTATTAAACAAAAAACAGGTGTTTCTACTCGTATTATTTTTTTTTGTAAAGGCTAATTGTGTCCTTGCTTTATTTGTATCGGTAATACCGTTCAAATGTTTTTGGTTTTTTCTTTACTAGTTTAGATGTAAAATATTATTTCGATTAAAAACTCTAGTTGTGCGTGCGCATTAAACCTCTAAACAATTATAATATTGACATTTTCTGTTGTAGCTAAAACGATATATAATTTGTATTTCCGTGGTTTAGAGTTCACATTGCTTCGATATTTTGATCTCATTTGTAGGTAATTGTATCTAAATCGGTATTGATAAAATCTGGATTTACCGGATTTCGAGAAGAAAAAAAAAAGTGTGTTTAATTTTATAACAAACCGGTTGTTTGTTTGATTGTGGTATTGCCGTTGTCATTCGAATAATATTATATTATCATTTATTTTGACCGATTTTCTGAAGTAGTATACTGTGCCTTCTTGTGTTGTAGGCGTGTATATCATAATGTAGGCATTTACAATTTTGAGACGCCGCCGCCATTGGCGTGTTTTRCGACGACGACGGGCTTAACTGAAAAATTTAATATTTTTCTCTTGAACCGGGGTGTATACTAGGTATATATAGTAATCGTCTGATACCGACGTCCAAAATATTATTTTATCTTGTGTTCGAATCGGTGCCGTTCGTAGATGGTGTCCCGTTACGAAATCGCATTTAATCCGTTTAAATTACTGCTCACCGAGCGATTTATGACGATCATGTTTTCTTTTTCGGTTAGGTTTTCGGCTAGGAAAATGGAAAATTACGATTTTCAATCGTGTGCGTGATTATAATATTAAATGTGTGTACTGTGTAATATCCTAGGTCACCGTTCGAAAGTACCACAGAGCAGTTGTAGATAAACATCTCGATGGTCGAACTTAATATTGAGTGGCGGCGGGTACTGTTCAGTTTGAGTGGTTGTAATGTATCTTAACATACCCGATATACAAGAGACAAGACCTTTTCTTATATTTGAAATTAAATAATTGAAGTGTTAAATTGAACTACTGTTGCTTACGGTGTTCGACATTTGCACGTGTTGTATAAGTAAAATGGAAAACCTTTGCTCGCTTCCATATAATTTTTTTCACTTTCGTCKAGGACAAAATCGAAAAGCTATGTTAGCGATGAAAACACCCTTTCGGCTAGTGTAGTCGTAGAACCCCGTCGATTTAGTATTTAGTATAATATACCAATTATTATTAACCTCGTTCGTGTAGTAATAATAAACACGTCCGTAAACATGTCTATATACTATGGTCACACACGCACCAACACACCAACGAATGCATGCATACCGTTGTCGATACCCACTGCTGCACCCCCTCACCACCTCCACTACGACGCACAACCAGTTGCCACCGTGGCGTTGTTTAGATCCATTTCCACAGGTTTTTTTTTGTATTTTTTCCCAGTAAACCAAAAGTTTTTTCTCTTTATAAACAGTTCAACGCAACAATAATAATATTATAATATCCTCGGAAATAAATGTAATGCCCGCACACACGGTTTACGGGACAAATGGAGGCGGTGAAGACGATACCGATGGGAATGTTTACGCGTTACCGCCAGCGTGTAGAGAATATAAAAAACGCGGGTGTGAGAGGAACAAGACGTGCGCATCTCGTTGTTTTCTGTCGATATCGTGAAATTTATGCGACCTGTTGCATTTACGCACATGCCTGAAATGTGTTTATCTCGCGTTTTTGTCTATGCATTTTTCGGCCGCGAGATAATCTGCTTTTTTCTTCGCAATAGACTTGTCTTGTAGTGCGTGCGCGTGTTCGCAGTTCATAATTTATTGTTGGAAGTTTGAATGTTGAGAGGCAGTGACGATAACAATTTTAATTATGATTGTCATCCGATAGCACCGGCGTTACACCACGTGTTCGTATTTTATTAGTTTATATTAATTTTAACACTGATCATGCACATACCTGAACGTGGCGTGACGCGTGAGTAAGTTACTAGTGATCGCAGTCACTCGCCGATATTGTGTATGGCGACATTGAGTATATGTTTTGAWCGGCCACATTTATTTTGACCGGATATCCGTTGGAAAAAAATACTTATAAATAACTCAAAACGAATAAAAATAATTATTCGCTCGATTCAAAATAGATGCGGTGTTTTTCTTGTTCATGTAATAATGCATGTTATTTTGGAATTCTTTGCATTCTGTTTTTATCAATAATTACGATTTTGTTATATCAACAATAGCTGWTTGGTACACAAGGGAGATTTATTCATTTTAATCCAATGGTTACCAACGGAAGCACGTCACAATGGTTAATATTATACTATTAGAAACAGATTCGTTTGGTTATATTATAATTTATAATGTCCATCCTAGTTCGCGAAAACAAATACAAATCATCACAATTATTTATTGGTGGTCTACACTTGTACACGTACTCTGCTGTCTAGTTTGGCCTCGCGAAATATTATCATTACTAGTCGATAGATTTTTCAAAACAGTACTTATTTTTTATAGGTACCTCTCGGGATACCTAACTACCAAGACATTCTGTGTTTATTYGAGGTTTATGATATACTTCAATAATGACATTACAATAATACAATGCTATTCGTCAACGTCTCATTCCGTTTCAATATGTATGATAATATTATACATGATTTAACGACTATCATGTATACCAGGTTGGCAAATGGGGAATTTCATTTTCGTCATCGGGACAAAGAAATTTTTCCGATGGAAAATTATATTTAAAAAAAAATCTCTTTTCTTGTATGTGACTCAAGAATAATTTCGAAATCATTAAAATATTCAATACCTCAAGTGCCCAAAATATTATTGCATATGGTTTTCAAAACATCAACCGTATGTTTGATTTACGACAACAGTTTATGACTGAATCAGTTGGAAGACAGGACCTAATAAATTATGTTATTCCTCACGTCTTGTGATTAGCTATATAATATTATATTAGTGTTATTAGTTTATTACATTGTGTACGTAAATTACGCGCACACTGCACATCCTCCGCACTAGGTACGGTCTGCGACTGTTGCTGCGGTGTTGTTATCACGTCATGTCCAAGGTCGAATCGTCGTCGTTTGGCGGTTAAAAGATGCGTTAACACGCATTGGTCAAATATGTTCTAGATATTTTATTTTATTTTCTCGTTCATAGTGATATTATATTAATACCTATTATTACGACTTGATGAAATATACCTATAACCTGCGGTGATATCTGTGTTGCAACTTGTGTTCAATCGCGTTCTCGGTGACAAACGGTGCACACACGCCGTCTCTACGTACCTGAGCAACCAATCGTTTTGTGTGTTATTACTATTAATCTACCTAACCGTTGTGGCGTCGTTAATAATATTATTAGTTACTACTACTATTATTATACATTACGACCCGTGTGCGTTGTTCGTCCTCTCGGGTTATTATATAATATATAAATATATAATCTACAGTAATTGATTATCGTCAATAGTAATAATTATTGTTAAATAATATAATACAATATAGTATTATATTATTATTTGTGTGTCCGTCGCATAAGTAACTAACCGCCTTATCGCCGCGGTCGTTAAAACCCCCCGGAAAACTATACAGAAATAGCCTACAACCGACGGACGCGCGCGCGGTCTCGTGTGTGTTCGTATGTGTGCGCGCGCGCTGGTCGTTGATCGTATTCTGTTGGGTAACACACCTATTGTGGTGCGTACGTCGCGACTGAAGACGACAGACCCGTTTTCGGTGGTGGTCGGTCGGTCGTGGATAATAATTATTATTTTTTTTCGAATCTGAAAGAAAATATACACCGTACATTAATACGCACACAACAATCGCATTATCKTCAACTCCGTTGTCGCGTTCATTTGTCGTGTACTCCCCTAGAACACAGGTTTGTGTGTGTATGTGTAGGTCTATATCATATTGTATTATTTTACCGTAATTAAGTAATAATAATATTTTGTATCTATTTTTACGGCCTATTTTATCATCAATTTTTACACACCAACCGCCGTAGTATATATTATTAAAGACTCGTATTTTTAACTCTCACGTCTTTTTTTGTATTTCCTCAGATATCGTTTGAGAACGTATGAGAATCGTTTCATCAAGGGGAATTGAGATCATCGTCGCGTCGTCGTCTTCACCCTCGCCTTCGGTGGAGATATACGATCGTCATCGATAAGACTAACAGAATTCCAAGAAGCAGTGAACGGCKTCGTTTAGCGGACCCTAACGCCGCCGCCGCCACCATGGGCCGTAAGAAAATACAGATATCGCGGATCACCGACGAACGCAATCGCCAGGTAACGTATTATAATTTCTTTGTTTTCGGTCTGTCTGAGGGATGAGACTTTGTTTTGCAAGAGAGCTTTAATATAACTATATTATAATAATATTATGCAGTTATTTAAAACAAACTAAACTATATCAAATTATTTAACCTAGATATATCTCAATCCTTTTTTGTTTATACTATTACCTTTGTTTTGTATATATTATTGTTAATGATTCATTCTTGTGTAAAAAAATATTAATGTTAAAGGCCAATAACCTTTATTGTTAAGGCTCGTTCAAAAAAATAATACCTATTATGGTGAATCCACTCGAATTATTATTATTAGGCATAAGTAGTAATTAGTGTTCAGAACTGTTGACTATTRGCACGTTTATAAAGTATTATATGAGCATTCAATACTTTCCCCTAAAATCATTCACGCCATGGAAAGCCAACGATAATATCATTTTGATGATATTTACCTAATACAACGCATGTTGTATATATTTTGATTTTTGAATATAACCTGAAATATGCCGGAACCTTGATTATCGTTTTGAGTTTACCACATGGTATCCAACTATTATATACATAATATACATTTCTCAGTTTCGATTGAATTTATAGTGAAGTACTCGGTAAAGTCAAGTGGAGTTAGCGACTTACATAGAAAAATTAGCCTCATGCCCGAACTTAGGACGCGAATAGCGATGCTAGTAAAAAAATTTTTACATCCAACAACTTTTTATGTGTATATGTTTATCACGACAACCATGATAATAAAACGATTAAAAAGTTTTWGCCGTTGTAATAATTACGATTTATTTAAGAGCACAAGTTTAATGTGACAACAATATCCATTGTAAAAATTGCACTGTGTATTACAAACTTCATGTTATACGAGTATACTGTCATGCTGATAATATCATTATGTCAAGTGTTAATTTTTGTTGGTTGTTTTACTCTGTCCAATACTAATTGACTACTATCTAGAAACAGATTTTTTGTTTTTTAATACAATTGTTCCTTATTAGTTTATTTCTAATTTAAATAATTCCTATTTTATCCGAATTCAGTATTGGAGCAGTTACCTATTTTTTTTAAATTAGATATTTTTTTAAGTTTTAGTTTTTTAAATTTATTACTTCCAAACATAAATAATAGATTAAAATGTTATGCTTTAGGTTACCTTTAACAAGAGGAAATTTGGTGTTATGAAAAAAGCATATGAACTGAGTGTGTTATGCGATTGCGAAATTGCTCTAATCATATTCAGCAGCTCTAATAAATTGTATCAATATGCTAGTACAGATATGGATAAAGTATTGCTCAAATATACAGAGTACAATGAACCTCACGAATCGCTCACCAATAAGAATATTATCGAAGTAATAATACCTCATTAATTGATATTAATATAGACCTCCGAAACTTATGTTTATTTTTTTACAGCAATTGAACAAAAAAGAACTTAAAGGTGGTGCATTGAGCCCTGAGAGCCCAGATGAAAGTTGTGATGGTACACAAGGACCCTACCAACTAACACCAAGAACTGAAGCAAAATACAGTAAAATCGACGAAGAGTTCCAGCTATTGATGCAACATCAAAGAATGGCCAGAGTAAATATTTTTTTCTTATACCAAACCTGGAATATGTACTAAAAATATTAAATAACTCTTATTTTCAGAATAATGTAAGTGCCAACTATTCACTTCCAACCACTATGCCTGTAAACAACATGTATAATGACTCAGGGAACTTACAACTGCAACACAATGCTAGCCCAAGACCTCCATCTTCGTCTGATGCTGATTCTGGTTGGTTTTTTTAATTTTATGTGGTRGAAAATTGTAATTATTATTTATTGTAATTTTTATTTTTAGTTTATCCTCCCGGTGGTATGTTAGAAATGAGTAACGGATACCAAGCATCTTCATCGCCTGCACTAGTCAACTCACCTTCTTCTCCCGGACAATTAGTCATGTCACCATCGCCTACGCCTAAAGCCTTAAATGCCTCTAATAGAGCTACTCCTCCGCCTAGACATCATTCACCTAGACCCAATTTGCGTATAGTCATGCCCAATGCTCCTAGTCATCATGAAGACAATAATGTACTTAACATTTTTACAATTTGTACTTAACTATCTATTCTTATAAAATTGAAAAAATAGTATAGTAAATAATTTTTTGTATTCCAGGCAAACTCAATTAATACACCAACTGTCTCTCTAAACACACCAGTTGTAGCGCTTCATACACCTGGATTGGGTGGCTCTTATCATGGGATTTTCACTGATCTTACATCTTCTGACATGGGTCTTTCATCAGCATTGAATTGGTCTAATCAACTAGCACACAATAGGTTTGTTGATAATTTTTTATTTGATTATAATTTATCACATAATATATAATATATTTATATAAAAAAATTTATGTTTCAGTGGAATGTCTCACCTAGGAGTACCAAATTCATCACCACCTTCTTCACCATCACCAAATTCTGTTCGCATTAAAAGTGAGCCTAATTCACCTCCACATTTACATCACCATACGTCTTCAGCTACCTCTGGAACAGCACCCAACACTGTTGTTTCACATTCTATCAGTCATTTAWCTTTACCACATGCTCACACTTCCATACCGTCCCATCACTTGTCTGTCACAGGTAAACATTTTTTTGATGTTACAATATAAAATTATTATTCCTTAATCTTTTTTCTTTCTAATTGTATAAAACCAGAACGTTTTATACTAGGCGGACAATTGCCCAGTAACCAAAGCTTAGTAGATTCAAGACACGATTTTGAAGGAGGACCACCGCCGAAAAGATTGCGTGATACTTGGCCAACATGACTAAATTGTTAAGTACAGATGACATCACACTGCTACTTTACCCAAAATATTTTTCTTGAACATATAGATTATTTATTTTATATTTATGGACCGCATGACTTACTCTCTACACAGGACAACTTATGACTTATATTAAGTAACTAAACTATTTTTGAAAATTCCTCTTCTTTTTATCCCTTATATTTGTTTTTTCATTGTTAACTCTATAACATATCTTAACTATGTTTTTAACATTTGTAAATAAATTTTTATTTATCTATTACTTATATTTTGTCATCAGTTATGATAATATGCTGATCCAAATGCATATTATAAAAAGTTAATGTCTAGTCCTGTTACAATAGAATGTAGGCTACATTTACTAGTCAATAAAACAATAAGACGAAAATTGATTATATTGGCCAAAATTCAATTATAGACTAAGTAAATATTATATTGTTGTTAAATTACACTAACATATTTTAAATTAGATGTTTTGTTTGTTAAATAACATTTGAGAATACATTTTAATTAAAATTACACAAATTGTATGTACATTATTGTTGTGTGATCATATAGTAGATACAAAAACTATAGAATATATTTATATTATATATATATATTATTATAATAATCAACTCCTTTATAAGTATGTAAATTGAAATATTTATTTAAGAATATTAGGTTTTTATTTTGTATAAGATTTTGATACTTAATAATTGTGTATGATAATAATATGTTAAAGTTTTATTTTTAAGTGCGATTTCATGGCCATTATTTTCAATCAAAATTATTAACAAAAGTGTATACCATTTATAAAGTTAGTTAATATTTTTGTAAAAAAAAAATATGAAAATGTTAGAAATTATTATGTTTAGTGTGTAAGCGGTGCTATGTGTAAACTTTTTGGTGCCATTTAAATATTTTAGTCAGCACTGTGTTTTTACCTGATCTTAGTTTAATTGTTTTGTTACAAATAATAGTAGGTACTGTTCATGCAGCACACAATAGTAGGCTCAATTTTTCTATATAAATATATATGTATAAAATGTAACAACGATGACCACAGGGCAGACATTTTCATTGAAATTATATTTGAGAGCTTACATATTTTATATTTTTGACCATTGTAACATAATACAGGGTTCGTTTATGAAAAGTTAACAAACAAAATTAAAATAATTAAAAGGGTTTAATCGGATATTTTTTTTTTTCTAGTTTTCCAACACTTATTATTTTTCTCGTTATTCTTAACACTTGTTGTATATTCATATTATGTACTGATTGTAAATTTAACATATTAGAGCATGTTTGTTAAGGTATATAATTCAATATATATATACGTATATTTAATTATAAAATACTCATTTTGTTGTTATATAATACTTTTTTTTTCATTTTTAAATATAAATCAAACAGTGCACAATGATTTTTATTTTTTAGTTTGACCAACATTTGTGTACCCCAGCATTATTTTAGTATCGTTTGATTGTTCTTTTTTTTTCTGCTAACATTAACACAAAGTACTTTATAAAAATGGCAAGGCCGAAAGTGCAATAAAATAATTTATACTGTGTACAAACTTATAAGTTAAATCAAAAAAATCAAGTTTACAAGCCGTTTTTATTATTTTATTTTAGATTTTTTTTTCTTTTGTTTATCATTTGTATATTGATTGCCAAAAATATAGGTTATATTATATTATTATATGTCTTGATTTTTTTTTCGTTTGGTTGTCATTTGAGTGGCCAGCAGCAATGGGTGATTTCAAATTTCAACGATGTACTTTTTAATCTCGTTAAGTGAAAAAGGTTCTGAAGAGTCAAATACACGGCTGGTCACCACACCCACCGTGTAATCGAAAATTACATTCTCCTGTGTGCGTGTGTGTATCCCGTCGCGCGCATTCCGCCCAGTTGGCGAAAAATCAAAAGCATTAAAAAAATGAGGCAACCGCCGCCGATTTCCTCTGCTCTTGTGGCTTAGTCACCGCCCTTCGCGTGACTTCACGCTCTTGTTTTTGCGGTGAGTGCGTGTAAGGACCTCGCTCCGTGTTATTATCTACAGTTAAGCCCTTTCGGATACTCTTCTATACTTCAGTGTACGCGGACAGACGGACGTCGGTTTGTCTCGCTCTCGTGTTCTCGACAACAAGTTTTCACACGAATTATCTGTATTGTTTTCTATTTACGACCAGAGACTTGCGCCCCAAAAGTTTATGGTCCGTATATCATCCGTTCCCGCAGCAGCAGCTCAGGTTCATTGCAACTCCTCGACGTGGTGGTGTAGCCCAACGGGCGTTATGGGCAACAAGGCGATGACTTTCACCGAATCGCAGCTAGAGGATTACCAGGTGAATATATCATAGTGATAACTAACGACTAATTAACGACGTGTTTTGAGATCGTTCTTTGGCGGTGCGACTCACACGCACATACGGCCGACGAGACACGATCGATTAGGTTTTCAGGTTATTTTCTCGTACATACACCGTGTGTGTGTGTTTTCGTCGACGAACCACTTACCCGTTTCGTTGATCATGTTATTATTTCATAGTGGCATACTGGTATACGTATATCTTAATATGTTGTGTAGTGAGTGTGGCGAGCAGGTCGTGGACCCCGYGATGATGATAAAACCGGATACCGTGTTTCGGAGGGGTGTTGTGCGTTGTACGGGCTGAAAGTGTACCGGTATATTTTATGTCATGGTCAGACCTTCCTCAATTTGCCTGGGGGGGGGGAGGGGAAGATATTTTTGGTAACACAATCTTTGATAAATAATGATATTTTAGTATTTCTGAAGATAATTTATTATTAATTTCAGTAGTCACTATTCAATTCACAAGATATTAGATATAGCTTTATATTTGCAATATTTGATAACTAAAAATGTAATCCGCAGGAGGAACAACTGCTAATGGTTGTCTTCTAGCGTGTCTGCAGTGTATAGGTCCAGACAAAATTGGTATAAAATACATTAGCACATCGATTGGTCAACGCGAAAATCCTTGTCCGTAGAAATTTAAATTTAAAATAATTTGATAAATACTGCCATATTTCATGCAGGTAACTTATTCCACAACTGTCTTATATATTAATATAATTACTAGTTTTAAAACGAAATAAAAGATTAATTTGTACTACTATTTATAGGACGCTATAGACGCATGCGTTGTCTTCGTCTTACAAATATACAGCATACCAAAAACTGTATTGCGCGGGATCGAATCAGTCGAGCAGTGGTGATATATAGTTAAGACTCCTAATTATTTATAGGTATATAATGTAGTGGAGATGAACATTATCTGTAACACATCGTCTTTATATATTGATATAACTTTTACGAAAAGAGTTATTTTTTATGTTTTTCAGACGTCTTAAATAACTTTTTAGTTACGATATTAAAAATTTGAAAAGGATATTTCATAGCTTAAGTTCTAATTTTTATTTGGTGAAAATTTCGTTTCTTAATATGACTAGCCTTCTCGGTCATTTCTCGCGTATAACACTTTTGTTATGTACTTATATTGTGTAAGTACATTTGTAAGACATAGATCACAATAAATGCGAGTGTAACTAACAGTAACATACTTACATAATAATTACTTTAAACAACAAGTTTATGAATGTGTAAATAATATACAAATAAAGGAGAAGAGTAAAAAATAWAAATTATAACAGATAAAGTTTCGTGCGGTTATTACAGATAATATTWAAAAAAAACTCTTTATATTATCTATTAATAGTAAAAGAGTTGTAAAAAATTACGTATTAGGTACTTTTTTCGAATAATAAACCAATAATTGCGTTCAGCAATTAAAAGCTTGTCTCTAACAAAAGAAATACATTACTAGCAACAAATTGATATTGAAACATTTACCGTGACAAATCATATAAAAAAAGAATCGTTCARGTACACTAGAAAAATGTAACTGATGATAATTTTTCTGTATCTTGAACATGATATTATTATTGAGTTGATACATTTTGTTTTTGAGGTCAACATATGAAGATTAAAAAATTTTAACACTCCAAATAACTTATGATTATAATTTTATATTATATTATATTACTAGGTAGGTAATAAAAATTATATTTATAAAATCAACAGTTAGAAATTAAATCATTGAGATATTCAAAACCGTCGACTTTGCGTTGGAACCCTATATTAGAAAAAACCTGATCCAATCACCTGGTGGGKGGTAACACTAACACTAGAATAATAATCGGATATTATGTTGTATAATATAGTACCGTCAAACGCGCATCGCACACTATAATGGAATCCATGAACACGAGATTAAAATCAAACATGTGTGTTGATAAATGTATTATAAGTATCTTCCTCCGACTTTCAGTTATTTTTAGATTTCGTTTCCCCGAGACTGRACCATTCCGAGAACCACTAAATTATTTAAATGTAGAACGTGACAAAAACGGTAATATTATAATGTATAAATACTATAAATGTATATAATATTAAATGGATTTTTTTTTCGATTTGGAGTCGATGAACTGCGTGAGCATTATACGGAGGGATGACAGCTTTTCGTATAGAAGAGATGTTTATTACACGCGGTGCGGAGCGAGTTTTTTTTTATTTTTTTTTACTTTTTGGTAGCAAATCCGAAAATATTCCAAGAAAACTATTCAATTTATTTGATAATATCACCGCGGTCATCGGATCTAAAACATTCTTTTAATTTCGTTACCCTGCTATCTAACCTATATATACGAACGTTGTATACATACGAATTTAACATTGTACACGCAACACGTAGAATATTTATTCCTATATGATCGTAAATTTCGTTATTTATTGGGTCTCCTTACCTATTAATACCTTTTCCTCCCTTCACAGTGGACAAAATAAACGGCGATGATCCAAATCTTCGCTGACGGAGCGCGATGGATGTTACAATAATTGTTGCGGTAAATTGACATARCCTACGGGCTACGGTGTATAAATTGCTTGATTCGAAATCAGAGTACCTATCAAATTATCAAGAGGGGCCACGTAGTTGAGTAGTTCGGTCGCGCATTTATAAATATGTTGTACTAAACAGTAGGTACACAAAAAGCATCTGATATTTGGTTGTRATTGTGAAGATTTTGTGTAATTTATTGTTTTGCTGACCGATGATGTACCTACTAAACGAATTTTAGTAGTATTAAATTATAATATATAATTATATAATAATAATCGCGATGCGGTGGTCGTAACATGACGAAAATCAATTCGTGTACCTTTATTATAGTGAATTATAATGACCACTGGGCACTAATAATAACTGCAACGCCGATCGCTCATCACTCGTGTTTAATGATCAATGATCGTCTGTTCGTCTGCTTCAGTGGTTTGCGTCGACACCTGTCTGAATCGGTAGGCAACCTCTCCGTTAAACGACAATATTGTATTGACATATTGTTATTTGGTTGCTTGTCCAATAGGTACCCATAGGCACAATTTCAGTAAAAAAAATATGAGAGTGCTTAAGCTCTTCATTYTCTGGACATTTATGATTATGAGTCAATTGTCGAATAATATTTTTTTWTTATTCGTCTTTAATCTAGTTTCTGATGACACGCTGTTTTTAAATTTCGTTTTATAAACAGATGTTTTAATACATAAATACCAATAATATGGAACGTGCTAATTTTAAAATTGGAGGTGCTAATGTTTCTAAGTTTCTTACACCCCCCCCCCACCCTAATTGCGCTTATGCCCCTAAACTACCACCTATTTTTGATTTATATTTTGTTTTTGTATCTAAAAAAAAAATAATAATAATGTGTTGGTAGGTAATACCTATGACGTAATAAATCGTAATAAATAAACTATGGCGTTGTTACTAATTGGTTGGTAGTTGAATATAAGTACTTCACACACTTAACGTCTGTAAAAGGATTATTTTAGATTTTAGCTCTATAGAATCGTAACATATCGCATCTAATAGTAACATAATATTCAACATTTAAATTGTTGTTTGGTATAATTGAATTTTTTTTYGGAGGGGATTTAAAATATAACATCCACTCGGTATGGGTGAGTTAATTTAGTATCTATAATTTACTTTATTTATTTATTGATTTCCGAGTTCATTTGGCAGACGTATGAACTGCAGGTTCTTTGCAGCACACATGGACATGACACATATAATATATTATGGTTGACTTCCGAACTCCAGTCTATTAATGTTAATGAAGAAACACCATGGGCTGACAAGTCTCCACATTTTGCTATCATTACTATTTAAAAGTACATAAGCTCGATTTGTTTGATTTAATCGTTGAGTGTTGTGATCATCGTCATAGTTTGCTTTTTTACATACAGGTGCTAGGCGATTATTGAGAGGGAGGTACACTTTCATTTTGAAACTCATTATGCTTTCAATAATTTTTAGTTGCCAATAAGGTTTTGGATATACTTGTGCATCCTTTCCTTCATAAATACTTTTCTTTCYTAATTATTCACTGATGTTATGTAACAAAACAGAAATCGACTCATGCACCTCAAATTGCCCCGTAATTTCAAACAAGTAAAAACAATGTTTATCATAATCCGTTATCCACACATCCGGAATATCCAATATTAAAAGCAAATAATCAACTATCAATAATGATGTATATTGTATTTTGTAGTTTTGTTTGTTTATATTTATGGGTATAACAATCGTATCACAATATATTATGTTTGTTGTTTGATTAAAATCATTATGCGACAACTGAACCCCTGTCCCGAGATTTAGTGCCACTTAAATTTTTGATGGGCCAAGTGCACTTTGGAGTTTGGACATAAAATATCAATATTGTCTTGTGTTTGGGTTAAAACAGTTAAAACCTGCGTATTATTATCTATTATCAATATAATATATTTAACTTGCATCGCCAATCAGTGTATAAATAAAATACAAATAATACACGGCCGTCTACGGTAATGCGCCTAGTTGGGCYGGGTCAATTAATTGAAAGGTCTGTACCGTAAAAAGTAAAAACTGTACATACCTGTACCTACGCTGTACATAATATTACACTAACATAAAATAACGTAACGTGTAACATAATGTATTTCTATGCAGACGGGAAGTTTTACAATTAAATTTGTCACATTTCGTGATTCTCGTGATTCAGTCGTCGTATATCATTTATTACTCCGTGTGTGTGTGCGTGTGTGTGAGAGAGAGATTATGACATGCACGACACACGATATCGTAAATCGTAATAGTCATTTTTTAGTTGGGGAAAAAAAATCTTCATCAAGACCACCTTACAATAYATTCACCATTTCACCGTGAATATAGCTACAAAAGGAAACCACGATGTGTGTTTAATTTTTTTCCCCTCCTTTTACAGGACTGCACTTTTTTCACCAGGAAGGAAATACTTAGGTGAGTAATATTATAGGGCGGTAGTCACTCCAGCTCCTGTGCACATGTGTGCAAACAGGAGATGACGTATATTATATTATTTGCATTACACTTTATTTTGWGTGTGTGTATGTGGTATGTATTTGTTTTTTTACCCACCACACGTGTTTATGTAAGTCGAAGAGGATTTTACAAAAAATTGAACATTTGTGAATTATATTTCATACACTTCCATAATGGTATAGTATAATTATTATTTTTAAATAGTTATATAGGTACCTTAATACTTGTATACAAATAGTATTAATTAAAATCATCTAAAAAACCGTTTTGTTTTGAAAACAACTTCTATGTAATAAAGCAGTAAACATTTTTTATTCGTATTGTTAACCACGCGTGTTTAAGGTAAAAATAAAACCAAAAACTCTATACATTAGTATATTATGTAGAATGTAGATAAAGAAATAATTACTGTCTTATAAATTTTATTTATTGGTTATTTAGTATTATCTACTTATACAACTGCAGATGAATGCCATCCAAGAAGATGCAAGACTATAGAATCCTTTTGATACTGTTATGAAACGACTAAACAAGTTTTATTCGTAGGAAGTTAACCGATTTTACAAAAAGAAAGAAAAATTATTTTCTTTTCAAATATATTGTTATTGTAGGCAGGGTTMAAACCTGAATGATTTTTTAATGGTTTTTGTTATTATTATTTTTAGTTCAAATAACCGGTTAAATGCGTTCATAAATATTCCGATTAATTAAAACCGGTTATAAATATATTTTTAAAGGCTTTAGATAGATAGAGTGTATATTATTTTTTTTTACTTCAATTTTCTTTTTACATAATATAAATGTAAAAATGGTTTGTATAATGTACAAATATTTGTTTTAATACTTTAGGTAGTCGTATTTACTATACCGTCTATACCTATAAACTATATACTCTTTACTGCAGACTATATGTAAAACTATATACTATATGTATATGACTCTGCATGTGCACTGTGTATTATAATGAAATAAACAATGCGCATTGGTGGAATTCATATTGAACAATTCATTTGACCCCATTTACAGAAGTGGATCTACAGACAAAAACAATAAACTAAGTTCAAAAATTACGTTCAGCTCCTCGCCCCAAGTTTCGTCCGCCTATATATCAGGGGAGGYCAACTTGCAGATCGCGYCTGATTAAAAAAAAACCAATATTTACTTATTAATTAKAAAATCTGAAAATACGATAAAATTATAAAATATTAAAATGTATTTATAAACATTTGGCTCTTGRTATCATTGTATTTATCCATCAYGTGGGCTCGTGGATGAATTCATGTTGGCCACCCGACTGGTCTATTTTATAAAAATCGTGAATTTCTTCGATAAACTTCATAATATTAAAAATGAATGACGGTCTGTAGGTACTCAATATATTTAACCAACTTACTCCCTCCAAATATGATCACACAACAAAATATGAGTAAMAAAAGAGTAAATTTCCATTTTTGCATAAATGAAAAACATTTTTTTTTAAACTAGATAGATTCATCTTTAATTACCCAGTGCTTCATATAACATAATTTATTTTTTTATTATATCGTATATATTTTATATAATCGTCAATTATTATTTTAATTAAATTTTCATAAATACATTTTTTTTAAATGTTTAAATTTGGATCCCTTAATATCTATATATATATATTATCGCTGTAATTGTACGGCGTTGCATCAGCGTAATTAGCCTATTTACTTAATCTATAGATTTATAAYTTACTTGATAATTCGATTGACAAAAACTTAATTTCATAAAATAAGACAGATTTTAGCAAAATAAAATATTTAATTTAAGTTCTTTGTATCATGAAACACATTTTTACTTTACTCTGCTATTTTTTAAGCATCTCATAAGAAATATATAAATTTTATAAAAYCCCAACCCTGGTCATATYATRTGGCATATTTACCGGTATGAAAATTGGCAACAACGCTTAAAACTTCGAATGCAATCGTGTAGTTAAAAATCAGGTAAAATTGTTCGGAATCGTGTACCTTAAAAAGGTATAGCCGATAACGAACGTACGCAAACGTGTTTTACCCAATGCAGCTTACTTGCTGTAAAAGGTTTGCGATCCCAGCAAGATACAGCTAGGCTTAAGATTTTAAAACTAAACTAATGCTTTAGACTTCTCATACCTATGTAATATGATACAATAATAATAWTGATAACAAAATTAAAAATGTATAATAATAATATTAAACGTTACACTGTAAAAAGAAAAGGGAACATGACAAGTAAAAAAACACGTAAAATGTTGAGCCCTAGTTTTCACATACCATAATTAAAACTAAAAATAWTTATAACTTATAGATAGGTACATTTATTACACAACTGATGAAAAATTAACAAATTGCTATTAAGTTAGTAAATATGATAAATAATTTAAGCAAATATTTATTTAATAGTATAAATTACTACTTGTTTATATTATACGAAACAAAGAAACTAATACGTTATGATATACTTAATGAGTTTTCACCTTTTCTAACAAATGAGCTACTTTGGAAATTATCTGCARGTGATCGACCACTATATATTTATTTGGATATATTATTTTTATTATTACACGCACAATAACAAATTGTATGATACTATTTTTCTAAATTATTCTTTATTTCTCCATCTGAAAATTATATTATTTTTCTTTTACTTTTTACTTTGTATATTATTAAGCGTGTTATTGTTAATAAAATATAATATAAAAAAGTGTGTTCAAGATTACGTGATAGACCGATATTGGTAAAATTAATCTTTAATACGATCGTTAAATATATACCTCTGAAGATCGACCCTTACTGGCTTAATATTCTACCTAGTATATATAGTTTATATGCCGAGTGATTCTTTGAGCATGCTAACCAGCTAACCCCCACATTTAAGCCTTAATAATGAATTTATTCAAATTCTTGATTTCTTTTTGTTTTACTTAAGGAGTGTCTTATGTAGTCGTACAAACTTCTATTTTTCAAATGAGAATCCCATTTTTTAAATGAAAATTATAGAATGAATAATTTCTTTTATATGTTTAAATATATACCCTATTCAAAATTCGAATGCGTAGTTTCTTAATTATTTAAGTGTTATAGTTCTAATAAGAATAATAGTCGTTAAAAATGATTTTACCATTTCCTTAAAAATATAAAATAGACATAATATTGGAACTATTATTTATTATGATCGGGTTATTTTTTTACGTATATTATTGATATTTATAGATTAATATAAATGACTAAAATGTTCAAATCATCATAGCCGCCATATTTTATAACCACATTATCCATGGAATTGTTATCCTTAAAACTCAATAACTACCTGTACGAATTTTGAATAATTTAGATTTGAAAAGGGAGGTTCTCATTAAAAGAACAGAAATTAAAGGCAAGATTATTATCTAGGGCATCTCAC